TTTGTGTATATTATAGTACAGTACCAGTCAAAAGTTTGGACACTTTCCCATTCGTGTGTCCAAACATTTGACTGGTACTATATATAGAATACAGTATGTACATAAACAGAATATATATATATATATATATATATATATAACTTTAATTTGTTTATTGTAAAAGAAGTAAATAAATCTTATATACACTGCCGTTCAAAAGTTTGGGATCAGTAAGTCTTATGTTTTTAAAAGAAGTCTCTTCTGCTCATCAAGGCTGCATGTATTTGATCAAAAATACAGAAAAAAACAATAATCTTGCAAAATGTTATTACAATATAAAATAATGGTTTCTATTTTAATATCCTTTGAAATATAATTTATTTCTGTGATGCAAAGCTGAATTTCCATCATCATTACTCCAGTATAAAGTGTCACATGATCTTCAGAAATCATTCTAATATGCTGATTTATTATTAGAATTATCAACAGTTGTGCTGCACAATATTTTTTTGGAACCTGTGATACTTTTTTTCAGGATTCTTTGATGAATAAAAAGTTAAAAAGAACAGCATTTATTCTATATCTTTTCTAAATCTTTGCTATCACTTCTTAACAATTTAACACATCCTTGCTGAATAAAAGTTTTAATTTCTTTCAAAAAAAGAAAGAATAACATTTACTGACCCCAAACTTTTGAACGGTAGTGTATATTGTTAGAAAAGATTTCTATTTTAACTAAATCCCTTTTTAACTTTTTATTCATCTAAGAACCCTGAAAAAAGTATCACAGATTTCACAGAAATATTAAGCAGCACAAGAGATAATAAATCAGCATATTATACTGATTTCTGAAGATCATGTGACACTGAAGACTGGAGTAATGATGCTGAAAATACAGCTTTGCATCACAGGAATAAATTAGATTTTAATGTATATTAAAATAGAAAAACGTTATTTTACATCATAATAATATTTCACAATATTAAAAATTTTTTCCTGTATTTTTGATAAAATAAATGCAGCCTTGATGAGCAGAAGAAACTCCATTTAAAAACATTAAAAATCGTTCTGATGCCAAACTTTTGACCGGTAGTGTATATAATAAATATATAAGCTATGACTCTCACCGCTCGCAAGATCTGGTCCGTCTGTCTGATGAGTTCCTGGATCTGTTTGAGTACGTTCACCTTCATGTCCTCCAGCTCCTGCTGCTGTGTCGTGGCGTCTGCGATGCAGGTGCGATACGTCGCCTCGGCCTCCTCCGCCTGCGGACACAAACATATCCATCTTAAAGGGGATAGATATATCATGAAAACAAATTAGTCGACTTGATTGTTTTGCTGTTAGTGAAGGATGGAGCAATTAAAAACGGCAAATCACAGCCCATAAATACTTGTAACTTGGAATTGTTGCATCGATATTATAAAATCACCCCAAAATTAAGTTAAATAAATGAGCAATGATATCTTGAACCCTATTTTAAGTCATACATTCAGATTTTCATTGTGACATTATTTTCAAACTCATTACTGTTACGCATACTGACGTTATTGCATTACAATAAAAAATGTCTTCAATTGTCATGAAAATAATCTCAAAATCCTATGATCCTAAAAAAGTAACTATGCAATATTCTTTATGCAAAAAAAAAAAAAATACAGATAAGAATACATTTTACAAACAAAGTAAATTAAAAAAATTGCAGGGGGGAAAAAAATAAAATGATAATTAGAATAATTAAATTTAATAACAAAGATAAAATGTAGGGGATGATAAAGAGTGTGATGTTAATCTATTCAGCAATCTAAATGTTGGTTCCCTGCATGTGACCGCAAAAGCACAGTCAGAATGAACAATTCACACAAAATGTGTGAAATTAGCTCATGTTAGGTCATTTCCTGTTTGAGCTGGCTGACCTTGTTGCGTGCTTCCTCTTCCAGTCGCCTCTTCTTGTCCAGAGCTTTAGTGGTTGAGCCACTTCCTGTTCCGCTGTGTTCCTCTTCCACCTTATTGGCCACTGTCCGAGCTCTCTCGTACTCCTCACAGCGGCTCACGTACAGGTGACGTGCCTTACGCAGGTTACTCTCGGCATCGGCCTGATGAACACAGACACATACACCTCTAAATGCATTAACACAGATGCACATATTTAACTCATATATCTTTGATTTAGCAGGGTTTAGTTGAGTTATTTAGTTAGCTGAGGGTGGACTGAAGCTTTACCAGTTTTCTCTTGGCCCTCTGCCACTGCTCTTTAATGTCTCTGCGCTTCTTCTCATGTTCCTGCCTGCGCTGCGTCATGGGCTGAACAAGAAAAAGAGAACAAGAATGTTTTTTCATTTCATTTGTTAGATCCGCTTGGGTGAATCTCATAAACGCTGCCAAGAACACATCCAGGTCACTCAAAACCCAAAATAAATAAATGAGAAATTAAAATGTCATAAGGGAAACCGTATTAGAAATAATGCAAAAAAAACTCTTAATGATCCAAAAATTAGGCTTTAATTTTTTTTATATTAAATTAAATGTATTATATGAAAATATAATAGAATAATATAATACAACAAATGTATAATATAATATAATATAATAATAAGTAATAAACTTAAATACAATATTTATTGTATTATAAAATATAAAAAATATGTATAATTTACTTATCTAGATAATGCAAAAAAAATCTTAATAATCAAAAAATTGTATTTATAACATTAAAAATATAAAATAATACATTTATAATATAATATAATAAATTTAAATATTTATTTATTTTAAATTCAAATTAAATTATTTTAAATTAAATTTAATATAAAATAAAACTTTATTTATATAAAATGTAATTTAAATTATTTATATTTTATAAAAATATATATATTTTTTAATTCACTATTTTAGGTATTGTGTGGTGAAATGTGCCAAACTATTTTCACACTGCCATCCTGCTGTAATGTGTGTTCAGGTTCAGGTGTGGTACCTGTAGAAATGAGTGTGTGTAGATGTTGTTTGTGGCCTGCTGTAAACCGCAGCTCTGCTCTGAGTCCTGCTCGAGAGCCAGAGAGAAGATAGACAGCAACGGCATGTGTTCCTGAGAGAGAGAGAGGTGGACAAGATTGAGAAACCTCCTTTACTGTATGTACAGTAAGCATGTGACAAAACAAAAACAGATTCCGTATCACTTAAAGGAATAGTTGATAATTCTGTATTTAAATAAAAATTCTAACCCCGATTTTTCATTTTCTGTGGAACACAGGCGATGTTCACGCTGCTTTTTTTCAATAAAACAAAAGTTGACAGTAACTGGGGCTGACAGTGTGCAAAAATTACTAAAAATACCATAAAATTATCATAATTTAAAAACCGTCTATATGACTCGTATGCTACATGTGCTTGAACTGCACAGGTTTTGCAAATCACTTTTCAGATTTTTTTATGATAGTTTATTATGGTGTCTTTTAAGATGTTTTTGACCTTGATGACAGAATTCGTATTCTTTGGTGACTGTTTTACAACATAAACACTAGTGTTATTTCAATCTGCAGAAACACATTCTAACAAGCGCAAGGGAAGCACGCCGATGTACCTGAATGATGTTTTGTTTGCAGGACTGGTAGAGTCTCTGAAGACCTTTAGAAAACTCATTCTCTGTGAAAGAGAAAAATAGAGAGGTCCAGGTGGATGGCTTTGAAATGCATTCATATAAAGAGGTCTGAGTATATTACCGGAAACCATTTAGAAGAGAGACAGACACATGTGTTTCACAAACCACCAGACAGGGCAAGAAAATGGCATTACCGAGAGCGATTCTCTTGTCTACGTAGCTGATGATGTCCTTCATGTATTTGGCGATAGATTTGGCATAATTCAGAGCCGAGTCCACGCCGCCTTCACTGCGCTGCAGGAGAATATCAACTTCCTGTGGACTCACTGCTGACACACACGGTACACATCAGCCATCCCATATATGAACAAATAATAAAAATTTAAAAAATTAAAACATTTTTTTTTAAATAATATAATGTTATATTATTAAAATATTAAAATATATATTTATAATTTATATATATATATATATATACACTGAGCAGTATATACTATGTGAGTATTAACAATAAATGTTTTACGATGCATGTGAGTTATGTTTGGTTATCATTGCATAAATACATTTTTTATTTTTTTTTACATGTGATCAAATAATGAGTCAAGTTCTCAGCTCTCAGTTAAAAATCACTGTTGATATCACTTCCGGTCCCATTCATTACACTAGAGATGGAAGATCAAGCTGACTGCATTGCATTGTGGGATCTAGTTTCTGCACATGATAGAATATATATTGTATTCTGTGCATACGGTGCACACTATGCATACTACATACTTTCAAAAATAGTAGTTGGTCTGCTGTTCTATGCATTACTAAAGACAATAAAACAGCGATTCACTCACTGCAGTCCTGGTGGTCGTATTTTCCTCCTTCGGGACCCTGACCTGATGACACCCTGTACAGGTCCTCCATTGACTAAACACACACATGAAAGAGGCAGAGCTAGTTTTTACATTTTCGGTAATAATGTGCATTATGAAATTAAATTGTGTGGATTTTGATTTCGTGTTGATTTTGAGGCTGAGGTTAGAGTCAGATACATGTGGTGAGATGCAGTAGTGTATATATGACTTTCTTTTCTCAGGGCTGTGGGGTAGATTAGGTGCTTCCATTGGTAGTATTACTTGACCTTACAGCGTCTGAAAGTACTACTGAGGAGGCAGTAACTGAACACACTCTCGCCATCATACGCAACACTGGAAAATAATATGCAACTCTTTTGTCAATGTAGGGATGCACTGATATGAACATTTTGGCCGATACCGATAACCGATAATTCTTTAAATTTGAAAGCCGATATGTTGGCTGATAAATCTAAATCAAAATAATCGCTTAGAAATAATAGAAAATAGAAGTCATCCAGAAATTTTCAAGTTAAACTTTTAATAATTTAACAACACATTTACATGTTCATGATTCTTTGATGTTGGTCAATGGTCACATGACATGTAGGTAAACAAATAAAATATTTTATCTTTTCTTTGTTTCATCTTGGTTGCTTTTATTCTAAAATTATTCCTTTATTTTAATTTTACATTTTTATGATTTAATGAATTAGCTTTTCACAAATATGAATTATTTTAAATGATTAAATATTTAGCTAAATCCTGCTGTTTATTTCTAGTTAATAATTATTATTCAGATGTTTACTTTTTATTTATCATTTTATAGCAATGCAGACTCGAAGGATAATTAAAAAATTTGAAGATTTAAAAAATAGTCTTAATAACAATACTTCAATAAATTGTCTACAAGAATTTAACAATATAATTTTTTACACTCTAAATAAATAATTATAAACAATCTTTCAAATGCAAAAATTCTAACAATTTCTCACAATCATTTTTTTTATATTTAACTGTTCATCTAATTGTTTATTTACTCAAAAGCCCTCATTGTTTTTGCACCAAAAATTTATAAATTGTATCACTGAAGAGTTATATTTTTAAAATAGCATTGCCCCTTTAAGTATCTTCAAGTACTAAGCTACTTTTGTTAGTAGTTTGTAGTGCAGTCCTTCTTTAAAAAAGTTTCTTGACTAAAACTGAACTACTGTAAATAATGAGTAATCGCTTGGTAAACTACAGATTCAAAGTAGCATGACAAACACTGTTCAACTACTCTATGGTAAAGTGCATTTTAATGAAGGAAGTGCAACTTCTAGTTGTTTCTGGGAAATTATTTGAGTGTCTCTTCTGGACATTAAAACGATTATTTTGTCATCAGTGGCATTCTAAGAAGTGTTTCTTGAAGACTCGCGTCGTCAGGGACTCTGTCGAGTCTGTATAGAGGTGTGGAGGAAACAATTTGCTTGCAAGACAACGCAGGAAGCGACCCACACACACACACGCGCGCTTCCAACAACATCCGCACACACACACACACACACACACTCACCCTGCTCTTTTCTGTCGGCGGCAGGGACAGAAGAGTAGTGCTGTCAATCTCTCCCATCAACAACTCTGAAACACTGACAGAAAGAGAAAATACTGCTCAGATGCTGCTCTTTTGTAGCTCAGAAGTCATGAGAATAAGAGGTATAAAGCGAATGTGGAGAGCAGCTCAGATCATTTTGAGTTCATATTGAGATCTCTGACTTTTGCCTGCATACAATATACGGGTAAATCTGAGCACAGCTTGAGAAACTGTTCAGAAGATCTCTTCTGAAACTCTAGAGGAGACACATGTGAGACTATTGGGGCATGAGAAAAATCAGAAAAGTTTTGATTTCCTCTTCGTTTAATCTTTTGGATAGAAACATCTGAGATGTTAAAGAGATTTTGATCTTCTCTGTTCTTCTGTAATCGTTCTTAGATAAAATCTGTATTTGGATGCACAAGACAATGTTATGATGGGTAATGCAGAGCAGTATAAATTTCACATTTTAATAGGGATGCACGATATATCGGTCCACCATATCGGTATCGGCCGATAAATGTTCATTTTTACTGATATCGTTATCAACCCGATAAGAAAATTTGGCCGATAAATAATGCATTATTTCCTTCAGAGACACTTCAGATGCACAATGTTCACCATGATGGATTTTAATTGCTTGAAATATTATTTGAATCACTTCGAAAAGGAAAATACAGTTAAGTGCAACATGTGCAGGGCAAGTCTTTCATATAGGCTTCATAAAATTATAATGAGAACATGCAGGACAAAATAAAGTACACATTCTGAGTTACACATTCTGATTAGCACATAATTTAGTTTAAGTTCACTTGTGCATATGTTTATTTTTGTGCATATAAGTTTTATGCATTTGGCCTAATTAACCCGCAAACAAAGCACTTCAGTTTACTCGTGTTCATTTAGCTCTTCAGCTTCAGCTCGAACAGCAATGCTGATATCTGAAACAGTGGTATTAAATTAAGATGTTTCTTTTTCAAAATAGTTGATGCATTATGCTACTTTTAGTTTTATCTTAATATTTTCACCAACAATATGGTTTAATTAAAATAATTTAATTATTGTCCGTGCAAAGGCTATTCCGTTTTATTTATCCGTGGCACATGCATTTTGATTCTTTACATGCAAGTAATGTTGTCCAATGACTTGTTTGCATTATGCATTTTTATTTTAGATTTAGATTATTTAGATTTAGATTTATCAGCCAACATATCGGTTATCGGCTTTAAAATATAAAGAATTATGGGTTATCGTATCGGCCAAAATTTTTATATCGGTGCATCCCTCCCTACATTTTAAGAAAGTGAAAATGTCATGAAAGAATAAAAAAATTTTAAAAAGTGGTTTTAAGGGATATATATACCTGTGTGTGTGTGTGTGTGTGTGTGTGTGTATATGTATATATATATATATATTTTATTTATATAATTTATTTATTTTCAGGATTCTTTGATGAATAAAATTAAATATAAATATAAGTAAATATATATATATTACATTTTATAAAAAAATATATAATTGTTTATATATATATATATATATATACTGTATATACATAAAATATATTTATAATATTATATAAAAATGTTATATATATATATATATACATACATATATATAGAATTATAATAAAATTACACAATTACCTATATATATATATATATATATATATATATGTATCATATAATTATTATTTATTTAATTAAATTGAATATAATTGCATTTTAATTTATAATAAAGTAAATGAGCAGGTAATTTGTGTGAAAGCATTGCGTTGGGTCTTACTTGCTGCTGAACGCCACAGCAATGTTTTCAATGGCCTTCTCAAAGTCTTTCTTCTGAGCGTCAGTGGTGCCTTCATAACTGAACCCTGACAAACATGGAGAAGAGAACAACTTCACGGTCACAAACACATGCTTCTGCTTTGATAACAAATAAAACTAGAAGTGACATCACGTTTAAATGAAAAAGTGGAAACACCTGTATTTCAGTTGTTCATGTTTGCATAATCTACGTGTTTTTCCTTCATAAGATCAGATGCTGGTTGTGTGGTGACTGCTCGTATCTGATGTGGCTTTGCTCATCTGATGCTTGTGCTGAATTATTTGCTTCATGTGTTTGCGCTCACGTTTTGTGTGAGAGTTTGAGAAACCAATTACATGAGTTTAAAAGGATGAGTTTATCATGGCAGTTGGACTGACCTTTGACTTTTGAGATAAGAGTCCCTGCTGCGGTGAGCGTCTCCACAGTGTTCAGCAGAGGGTACGTGCTGATTACCTGCCGCAAAACACGCAGAACCTCCCCTAAACACTCGTGAACGGCCTGACTGCAGCGTGGCTCCTCTTTCACTGCAGAGAGATGAGAAAACATCATGATTCATTCATTTAGGGAGACATCAGCATTCGTGCATGGGAGTTTGGTTTGCTGTTTCAAACAAATGACTTGCTTTTTATATTTTTTATAAAATGCAATGGCATTCAGATCATTTTAAATGTGTATTAAGTGTCTAAATACTATGTGTAGCCACTGTAAATCACTCCAAACAGCTCTAACACTATATTGCCACATGTTAGGAAGTAGTTCTGCCTCTTAATTTCACCAAAACTTGACAGTTATTTGTCCACTTCCTACCCACCCACTCCCACAATGCACTTCATTCTGCTCAATACCACAAAAGGGAACTTGCACACATGCACTGATACTACGTGTATGATATTATGGTCATGAACTAATGATTTCATCAGGTTTAACAGATGTTCAGAGCCATGATACACTTTTTGACAAACTCAAGCCATTGTCTACAAAATAAATGTTTTAATGCATAAATCACAGATCTAGCTGAACAACTAGTTGCCACAGTTTGTGAAGTACTGAATCTTTGAAAAATAATCATATTGTATCTGATCAGCAACTTCTCATTAATGAGTGAAAGTGAAAAACTTTCAAAGTTTTGAATGTTTCCATGTTTACCCCTTTTTGATTAATTCGAAAAGTGAGAAATCTTTTCTTTTTAACTTTTTATTCATCAAAGAATCCTGAAAAAAAGAATCACAGATTCCAAAAAAATATGAAGCAGTGTCTTCAGTGTCACATGATCCTTCAGAAATTATTATAATATGCTGATTTGCTGCTCAAGAAACATTTCTGATTATTATCAATGTTGAAAACAGTTGTGCTGCTTCATAGTTTTGTAAATCAAAGTCATTGTAAATCAGCGTCAGTAGCCGTGAAACAAAGAAAACCTGGCGTTATCCCATAACGGTTGGGGAAAAGAGCAGGAGTTTGGCTGCTGGAACCGTATCCTTTTTAACAGGACAATGAAAGCTGTTGTTGTGCACGACAAAAGTCCTTGTGTGTGCGTCTGCATGCCTAAATGCATGCTCAAGAGTGTGGGTGTTCTTAAAAATGCAAAAAACACAAAGCAAAACACAAGAGTGTGACATTTCAAACAGTCGTTCCTCTTTGATGCAGCGCTGGAAATGCGACGGACTCCTACACACGTGTGTAACTCAGACTATTTAATATGCTGAGAAGGAAATACGAGCATGCAAAACTCCCTGCCGCGATGCCAGAGCTTTCTGGGTGGTTGCAAAAGTAATAGTAATGGTGATGCGAGTCACTGGTGTTTTACAGGAGAAAGTGAATGGAATGTTTTATGCACGTACATGTTGATGCACGCATGTCGTGCAGATCTGAACAGACTTCCCTCAAGCGCATTACTCAAACTGTCCACTGTCTGGCTCTTCTCAAATGAGTCTGCAGGTCATGAGTTGATGGCGAAGACAAACATCATGCCATCTTCCCAAAAAAGCCCCTACCTCTCACAGGCATCAACTTGTGTGTGATTAATAGCTGACTGCTGTCTTATGTAAGGAGAAACGGTGAAGACCTGTACAGTCCTGCATGCTGCAGTCGTTTTGTGGTGGTGAGCTGTGAATGAATCGCCTTCTGTGGCTTTTACAGAAGCTTCACTTCTAAGAAAATGTGATGAACTCCTACACACATGTGTGTAACTCAGACAAATTAACATGTTGTGAAGTAAACACAAGCGGTGTTTGCCCGTGCAAAACTCCCTGCCACGATGCCAGAGCGTTCTGGGAGGTTGCAAAATAGTAATAGTGATGCAAGTCACGACAACACTATGTGACTTCCCACAGGAAGATGATCTTGCTCAGAGTTTGCTCTTTCATTGCTCAGTTCTCTGTTACACTCTATTTAATATCAACTTCATCTCAGATGCCTTTAGGGCTGTCGTGATTCATCGATTTTATTCGACTATTCGATTTTTTTAAATCCTCCACTTCATTTTGCTCGTGTCGACTAACCGGCAAAATACCAGAAGTTGCACATTTGATGGACGAGAATCCATAAAACACATTATTCGTCTGTTTCCCAAGGCTACAGTTCTAATACAGTATATGCGCTTGAATTATTTACATGCGTGTAGGTTAAGTACATGCGTTACATGGCGGCTCCGTTCACAGGAACTGTTATCATTTACACGTGTGGAGCGTCTCAAACTCCATCTCTGCATGTTGTTGTGAGTTTGGGTTTATTATAACGTTCATCTGGGAACGCAACATGCGCCATTTCCTCAGATTTGTAAGGTAAATAATTTATAAATCCATGCAAACACAGGAGAATACATAGCGGTTTCAAAATAGAAGCTCAAACTCTCACTCTGTGTTTACACGTTTTGATGTCCACATATTCATTTAATTACAGTGGCTATAGCATTCTGTCCTAAAGAAATGGCCAAATATTAAAGATTAAGTGGACATTTGAATGAAATGGTGCTTGGTCAATAACAATCAAAACAAGGATTAGGTCGCACAGTAATGTGTAAAAACAATCGTCAGGCTGTTGGCGCCCCCTGCAGGCCTTTGTTGTAATGCGTAATGTACATTAGCTCTATTGTTTATAATACATTATGTATTTTAACAATTTTGTTCAATAAAACCATATGATTTCTTACTTTTGATACTTTATTTGAACTAATTATTATTGCCTCATTGCTATTATATATGTATTTTAATTCATTTTAAAGGCTATTGTTCACTTACATCTATTTTTATTACCACAAAAAAAATTATTATAATTATAGGGCACTAGGAAATCCATTTTATTTCCAAATTCAGTTTTTTCCATTTTCATTTTTCTATAATCTATTTTAATGGTTAAATTACATTTTATTCATCAAAAAGCCTGTCTAATTAATTGAGTTTTACTGTTTTATCTTTACCAAATTCTGTTTTCCATTATTTTCCATTAAATTTTAATAATCAAAAGCATCTCCAATTAATTGATTTAATTTTTTTTAAGTTTTTTTTCAGAAATACTGCACATTTACATTTTTTTCCTAAATAAATTCTGGTCAATAATATTTCTGGTAAATACTCCTTTAAAAAGTGTTTTTTTGATTATAATTGTATTATTAGTAGACCAGAACACGTGGATATGTTGTCATTCTTACACTATAATACTGAACTTTGATTTCAGGGATTTGGACTATGAGATGGACACTTGCTTCTTGCACTCTATGTTGCACTTTACTTTTGGATTTCATTTGGTTTCATGAAATATAGCTTAATAAAATATTCTTAAGTAAAATTGTAGATTTTTTGGTGGGAAATTAATCGTTTAGATTAATCGATAAATTAGTCGATAGATTAATCGAAATAAAAATAGTCATCAGTGGCAGCCCTAGATGGCTTTCCTAAAATTCATGAGGAAAAATCTGAATATTTTAATATACTACATTTTCTTTTGTTTGTGCTTTCTAAACTGGGGTTCTCGAGTCGATGAGAAGCTATAATTAACTAAATCATAAAAATAAAGATATTTAGATTATTTTGACCATTAAACAACATCAGAGAAACGTGAACATGCAACTGTATTGATAAACAGTGTATTTATGCGCTATGATATTTTTATTAGTATTTTAAATTAGCTTTCTTTTTTAGTAATTTAGTTTTTAGGATACATTTTTTATTTCAGTATACGATTTCAGTATACCCGTGAACACACAAATGTGTGGCTAAACAGTCTTATTTTAGTATTTTTTATATACTATTGCGTTTATTTATATTTTGAATTAGGTTTTATTTTCATTTTAATTATAGTTAATCTTTTAGAAATTTTGTTGTGTGTTTTTTGGTCTTTATTTATTTATTTTATTAATCAACATTATTATTTAGGTTTAATTTTCATTTCAGTTTCCGTTTTGTTTACCTGTTTGTCATGTGATCATTAACCAACATCAGAGACCCATGAACATGTGAATGTGTTGTTAAACAGTGTTATTTTAGTTTTATTTACATACTATAATAATTCTATTAGTATTTTGAATTCATGTTTTTCATATTTTCCATTTTAATTAAAAAAAAAATTTTTTTTGAAATTTTTTATGTGCTTGTCATTTTTTCTTTAATATTATTAATTTATTTTTTATTTTAGTTTCAGTTTTTATTTATTTACCTGTTTGTCATGTGATCATTAACCAACATTAGAGACCCATGAACATGTGAATGTGTTGTTAAATAGTGTTATTTTAGTATTATTGAATTAATGTTTTTCATATTTTCCATTTTAATAAAAAAAATTTTTTTTTTTGCAATTCTTTATGTGCTTGTCATTTTTTCTTTAAAATTATTTTTTTTAAAATCTGTTTTTATTTCCAGTTAGTAATTTTAGTGATTCACTCAAACTTACTGCAGTTAGTTGCCAAGGCAACATCTCTAATTTTCATTTAGTATATGCTTTTAACATTTATATTTCATTTTATTTTCAACATAAAAGCTGGTAACAGTTTTAGTCAACAATAATAACCCTGCTGTGAAATATTATCTTAAAATCTCAGGGACACTTCAAGAAAATATTTTATTTCAAAAAGGTTCGGCTGATTTGGGAATCCCTGGGTTGTGCCAGCCCCGACGGCTGAAATAAAGATTTGTCTTGAGATGACATTGGAAACATCACTATTGCAACTCTACAAGCAAGGCAGCTATTAACAGGAAGTAGAGCTTGTGAAAATAGTGACACTTTAAGGAAGTCCACAAGGCCTGAGGAGACTCAAATGACTTCTGCTCTTTATAAAGCAGACAGTGCTGACATGATTCATCTCTCTCCTGCCCTCTGCGCTGGATAAAATCAGACGAGGTGCATTGCATTTAGTTTACCAGACATGCAAGAGCTGTAGCGTTGGACATCATTATCTGAAGTTCTCATCTGATTTGAGGGGAATGAGTTCAGCAAGTAAAAGACTTCAATATCAGTCTGTTACTCACACCAAGGCTTCAGACGACTGGAAACTGACTACTGTTGTGATGCTGATTTGCATGTTTACTAGGGCTGGGTTTTGACACAAATTTCACGATTCGATTCGATTCTATTCAATATCGATTATTTTGGATATATATCACAGGTACAGTACATGCCAAATTTTCTCAAGGAAAACAAATCTCTCAACTAATGCTGTAAAAAATACATGAGTACTACATTACTATAATATTGAAGGTTAAAATTGACTGATTTGTTAAAATTACACTTAATGAAGTTTTTTAAATAATAAAGTTACAATTACATAATATTTCTACTTCAATTCGTTTTTTTTATATATAAACACAATGAAATTTGATGGATTTATTCAAACAAATTAAACATTGAAGAACAGTAAAA